GGAAACAGAGAGAAGTACTTGATGAAAGGCTCATGATTCTCAAGTCAATGGTCCCTTCGGTCAACAAGGTGATTTAGAACACTATAAAAAACTCTTCGGTTTCATCATAATTTGCCACTCTAATAAAATTCATAGTTGATTGCAGGTTGATAGAGTATCCATACTAGATGAGACGATAAAGTACCTTCAAGAACTTGAAAGTAGAGTCGAGCAGCTGGGAACACAGCAACGACAAATGGAACCAGAGGTAATAAGAACAGAGAGGAAAACCAACCAAAGAATTTCGTCAGAGAAAACATCTGATAACTATGGGAGCACCAAAAGAAATGGCAGTGCCAGGAAAGTTGGGAGCAAGAGGAAAGCAACTGAGACCAATGAAATGAGGCCGAAGATCAAGTCCAATATTGCATCTAAAGTTGATAGTGTGAGTGTCAGCATGAACATGAAAGGGCCTGTGATCAAGGTCCATTGTCCATGGAGAGAAGGGATATTGCTTCTGATCATGGATGAGTTAACCCGTCTTCGTGTAGATTCTCACTCAGTTCAATCATCTACTACCGATGGAATTCTTTCCTTAACCATTGAATCTGAGGTATTATAATGTGTATTTGGCTTGGGGAATTGCATAAAAAAGCTACCTTTTTCCCTAATAACATTGTCTGATGACCTTCTGTGGGGGGGGGGGAAAATTGCAGCACAAAGGAGTTACTGGTGGAGCACCAACAGCGTCAGCAGGAGCAATCAAAAGGGCCCTTGAAAGAGTTGCTATGGGGAAGAAGGACAACCTCTAATGATTTACTTGTTGTAGATGGTGTTTAACTAGGTAGGTCAGTTCTACTCAACCTTGATTTTAAGTTGCTAGTAAAAAGCAAAAACTCAATTCTTTTGCACCTGTTTTTGTTGTCCATCCTATCCATGGCTTCCTGGTTCAAGTCTAATGGAAATGCATAGTATTATTGGTTTCTTCTGCCAACTTCAGATTCTGCATGTGAAAAGAAAAGCTTACAAGATTCTCCGACATTGAAGTTCCAAGTTGTTGGTCCACATGCCATAGAGTTTACTGATACAAAGCCCACCAAATTCTGAGCCTGAGATTTTATAATGGGAGATTGGGAGGCGACGCAGGCGGGGAAATCTTCAAGTGGCTAACAACTCCTTTGTGTCTTTTCCATCTTTTCCCTGTAGTTTTCAAAGCGAACATTAAAAAAAGGAGAACCAATTGGAACTTTATCAAGCAGCCTGGAAAGAATGCGGTGAGAAAGAAAGAAACACAGGAGAGCCCAAACTTTGATATGCATTTCCATATGCAACAAAACAGAAGGTTCAATCCATGAATTTCTGATTAGCAATGTAAATCTTTAACCAAACTGTCCAGAAGAAATTCTTGTAGCTTGTCCGCTTGATGATGAGGCAAACTTCCCTCTATGTCACCAGTTGACGGGACAGCAACATATGCTAGTGCAATTGAAGGTAACAAGTTGAGAGCAGCAGTTATGGTATAATTATGACGTCTCAAAACTCTTAAGTCTTAACGAATATCTAAGGGTAAATGACACATTTGGTCATTGAGATTACTAAATCGTGTCATATTTAGTCACTAGAAAAATTTAATATCAATTTTGGTCACTCGAATTACTGACACAGGTCACATTTGGTCACTCTTCTGTAGCCTCTGTCCAACTCCGGTCACTCGAATTATTGAAAAATGTCACATTTAGTCACTCGTATTACTGAAACATGTCACATTTAGTCACTCTCCCAAAAATTTCCGTCCAACTACATTAATGGAGTTGGACGGAAACTGACGGGAGAGTGACTAAATTTGACCAGTTTCGATAATTCGAGTGACCAAAATTGATATTAATTTTTTCTAGTGACTAAACATGACACAATTTAATAATCTCAGTGACCAAATGTGTCATTTACCCAATATCTAATCATAAGCACGAAACAAAATTATATTCCCCTTTTGTGTATCTGCTCAACGGAAAGCAAAGCAAAAGAAGGGAGGGGTACAAAATCTCTGCAATCCTGGGATCAATCAACAGAAATAAGAACCAGGCACATTGTGAACCATCGTTCACTCAGCGTCTCAGCCCACTCTTTCCTTGCTTGCCAAAGCCCCCAGCCAAAATAACCCCTTTTGGGGACATAAATATAGTAACCATATTAACTCATCAGTCAATCACTACTCGCTACACATCCTCGAGATCCAACTAGTCATGTTTCTCCCCCAAAACATTAACACCTGAGGTTGGCATCACTCCCACTCGATTGTTGATGGAGGCTTTGATGTAATATCCTGAACAACTCGGTTTACTCCACGTACACTGTTGCAGATCTTGCGGGAAACATCATCGAGGAACTTGTGCTCAAAGTAATACCTGTTCAACAGCACATATCAGAGGGATAAATGGCTAAGCAAGGCAACCCTCCATAAGGTATCTAACTAGCAAACACCTTCGATTCTTCATTCTAGTAATTGTATAACATGGATGTGATTCACGATTACATTCCAATCACATGCTCGAGTGAAGTAGGAACTAGGGAAGTATATTCAAGAGAAGAAACTAACCAATCGGCTGTCATTCCATCTTGACTTGTGACGGCTCTAAGGGCAACAACATGAGAGTGTGTTCTTTGATCTCCTTGAACTCCGACAGTTCTCACGGGAAGGAATACTGCAAAAGCTTGCCAAATAGTATCGTAAAGCCCGGCATCCTTGATAGACTGGATGAAAATCTCATCCACCTGGAGAAAACATCAAAGGAAAGAACCATTAATTAAAAACATTAATAGATCATCAAACCATGCAAAATTTTCAGGTTCATGTTCATAATTAAATTAATAAATATAACTGACCTGGCGTAGGACATCCAAGGCATTGCCCTGAGTTACATCACCCAACACTCTAACTGCAAGGCCAGGCCCGGGGAAAGGGTGACGCTTCAGGAATCCCACGGGAACATCTAAGATCCTCCCTAACTCACGGACCTTTAAGAATAAAATGGAGAAGTTTAATGCCCCAAATGCACTTAAGATTAAGACAAGACAACACAAGAAAACAGAATGCTTGAATCCCACAGCATACCTCATCTTTAAATAGAAGCTTGAGAGGCTCAATAAGCTTCAATTTCATGTCCTTTGGGAGTCCTCCAACATTATGATGACTCTTGATTGTGTGTGAGTGAGTTCTTCCGGAGCCGGGAGGTGGGCAAGATTCAATGACATCTGGATATAAAGTTCCTTGGACAAGGTAAGCAGGTTTCCTTCCTAGCTTTTGCTCCAAATCATGGGCAAAAACATCAAAGATGTTAATGAATTCCCTCCCAATTATCTTCCTTTTCACCTCGGGATCTGTCACGCCCTTCAAGTGACCAAGAAACTGTTCCGATGCATCAACACAAGTAACAGGGAGATGAAGATCCTTCTCAAAAGTTTCCAACACTCGTTCTCTCTCCTTATACCTACAGAACCCGAGACAGATGAATTACAACGATAGAGAAACAGAAGAACACAAGTAATCAACACTATAAGAAACCCATTAGCTACCTCAATAAGCCATTGTCAACAAAAATGCAATGAAGCCTATCACCGATTGCCTTATGCACCAGTGTTGCAGCAACTGTGGAATCAACACCACCAGATAAAGCACATATCACATGATCTTCAGGCCCTACTGTTCCTTTAATCGCCCTAATTTCTTCCTCGGAGACATCTTCCATGTTCCAACCAGCTGCCACTCCACAAATATCAAACAGGAAATGCCGTAACGTGTCCATCCCCTCCGGCGAATGAGTCACCTAAACGGATACAAGATATTCACTCTTTCATACCAAAAGCCTGCAACTTTACTCCTCTATCATTCCATAAAACAAAAGCCAGAGTTAAGAGTTTACCTCCGGGTGATACTGCAAACCGTAAAACCTCTTCTCCCGATTTTCAAGAGCAGCAACTCCCCCTTGCCGGCTCTTGGCAACCAATTCAAACCCTTCCGGCAACCGAGCAGCCTCGTCGCCATGACTCATCCAAACCACCTGCTTATCCCCAACCTTCTTATTCCCAAAAATACCCGAATTCCCCACCACTTCAATCTCCATCTTCCCGTACTCCTGCTCCGTCCCAACCCTCACTTCCCCTCCCAACTTCTGCACAATCAGTTGCAGCCCGTAGCATATTCCCAGCACGAAGACGCCGTTTTCCAGCGCCCAATCAACAAACCCATCCGGGAAGCTGGGCGAGTCGGCCGTGTGAACGGAGTGCGGCCCCCCGGACAGAATAACGACCTTGGGGTTCAGGGAAGTGATGGCGTCGAGGGTGGAAGTGCCGGAAATGCAGAGGGAGAAGGTGTTGAGAGCGCGAATCCGGCGAGTGATGAGGTGGGTATACTGGGAGCCGTAGTCGAGGATTAGGACGAGGTCGGATTTCACGGCCTTTGGGTCCATTGTTCGGCTCCGGCGGAAGGGGGTTTTTTCAGGGGAGGGCTTTCGTTAGGGTTTTAGGGTGGCGGGAGTGGATGAGAAATCTGGGGAGGAAGAAAGGGTTTAAAGAGGAGGAGGAGAGGAGAATTACTGAATTAGGGATTGGCAGAAACTGACATTTATTTTGGGTTTGGTGGGAAGTAAGTGGGCTTGCTCTTCTTGGGCCTGGCCAGATTTGTATGGAAAATCGGGAGTCCGATTCAGAAACCTCTTTCTTTCATCATCTTCCCGATTTGATTATCAAAGAAAAAAAACTCTTTCCAAATTTAAAACCAACACTACAACATTGTTTACGACCAGAAAATTCTTAGAGATTAATTAAATCAAATTGTAGAAGATTTCTTACTTTTAGGGCACAATTTTAATAGATTCCTAATCACCATTGCTTACAATCATAATGCAGCAAATCTCACTCTCACAGTATTGAATCGAGCTCTTCAAGATTGTCATGTTAAATAAAATAAGACACAAGTGACATTTTCCGGATAGTTTGAGTGTTGTAGTGGTTTTAGCCCAAAATTTTCTGTTAAAATTCTGCAGCAGATGTAAAAGCTTTCATAGCCAATTGCCAGTATGTCACCAGAACAAAAGACCAATAGATCCTAAACAATTTCTCCAACTAACAATTACAAAGAGAGCAGACATACAAAAAACAAATGCAATGAACAAAACCCTCAATATTCTTGTATAACAAGAAACATGTTCAAGGTATGTCACTTCCAAGATGAAGAAAGAAATAACACATTTGAACAAGTTCTCTATATAAGGTGGCTCTTGGAGGGTGGTGCACTGGTGCTTATCCAAACTATACAAGTGTATAACGAATTTGAGCCATGTGTGCATGATTCAAGGCAAAATTCTCGAACCTTTTTGTTGCTGTTGTGTTAATGGGCCGAGTTGCTTAGCTCAGCAGACTCCATGATCAAGTCTTGCATAATACTTTCTACTGTGTCTCTAACAATGTCATCAGTTTCACCTTTGCAGTCCTTCCATGTCCTCGAATTAACCAAGTCCTTCACGATGATCTCCTCCACAGTTTCCATGGGATGGTGCAGAAAGAGGTCCCAGTCGATGCATCTCATCACTTCTCGAGTTGCATTCTCGGCTACTGAAACTGGCCGAAGCTTTGATTCCGTTGATGAAAGCCAATGAGAGCATCTCAGACAATGGTCGTAGGCCTCCAGAAGAACTTCATTGATGTACTCAAAGAGTATTCGATCGTTGCACAAGCAGATATCCACTTCATCAAGTACAATTTCTAGGAGAAGCGGGTCTGAGAAATAACACCTCAATAGGAGCTCGTCCCAACTCGAGATCGCAGCATGCAATATGGAGGAAATGTGTCCTGACATGGATCTGTGCTCTTCCAGAGATGGATCAGAGTTCAGAGCTGGGTGCTGAACAGTGGCAGAGCATTTTTCTTGAAATACAGTTCGGATTGACAGGTCTGATGGATCAACTGCACATAATTCATTAAGATTCAGCTCTTGAACGCTAAACGAGTATTTGACATTTCAGTTTGCAAATACTAGTTCGAGTACTTACCAGGATTAGACTTTTGGCTCACGGGGCTAGTGATATCTTCAGTGCAGAATTGCTCAAGAACAGAAACTGGACTAGGATGTTCTGGCTTGTCCTCAATTTTTATATCCAGACCTTCAATCCTACTGGCCTGTGGCGGGCTTGACATATAATCAGCTTCTGAAGATGGCATTACTTGGCTTTCAAACAAATAGTCCTGTACAATACCATGGCAAGTTGGATTCAATGAGATAAGTTCTTACTTCTTTGGCATAGTACTAGGGTAACAAAAAGAGGTATACAGAGAACAATTTCGACAAATCGTGCAAGCTAGAAGGGAGATTACCGGTCTCAAGGGATCGAATGGTCTTGGTGCATCTACACATTCATGTCTGCCATCAGAAAGCGTTCTAGGAGGACTAATGCCTTCAAAATGTATGTCACCTTGTCCTTCAGGGCTGGCACAAGCTGTAACAGAAAATATGAATTTGAGTACATGGAACCAGACACTAGTAGTACAGTGAGCATTAAAGTGAAAACGGCTTGCCTTGGGATGAAATATGCATGTTATCACAAGCAGAAGAGCCCTCACTCCCTTCACCATTAGAACTGAATCCATCCGGCTTGGCTGATTCTGTTTCAAGCATCTCAAAGCTTTCCCTAGCATCCACCCAACGCGTAGCCTCTAGGCTTTGCCTTAGAGGACTTGGGCAGTTGATTTCTATTCCTCTTTGATTCCTACACTTGCTCTCTTGTACTATTTGAGAATTGCTGGAAGGTGAGATTCTCATTTGGGGGGTGACAAAGCCAAGCTCCCTCTTTCCTCGAGGACCAACTGTATGCAAGGAATCAACCTCGTCAATAGAGCATATTCCATCCCAGGTTTTGGGTCTGTCCTTCCTTAGAAGGACAACTGTTGAGCTCCTATTACAGCTGCTTGGACTGGACTCTTTTCTCACAGCTGTCTCAATCTGTCTTAGCCTGTTTTCTTTACTCTTAGTTTGGATCTCCCGAGGAGAACTTTGCTCAAGCAAGTTGGTTTCAGCAATCTCCAGTTCTGATCCTTGGTCACATTCTTCCATCCCTTGTTTACCCTTGTTCTCTGGATAGTCATCTTGTATTAATGGACGAGCTTTTCTGCGTGATCCAATTGCCTTCATCAACTTCCTTTTCATTTGTGTGAAGGAAGAGAATGCAGGCCTCGCACTTTGTTGCACCGTACTTAGAACAAGCTGATCTACAGAAGAGTCGCACTTGTTTACATCAGGCTTCAACAGTACAATTGTCTCTAGAGGCTCATTAGCAATGGCCGATACCTTTTGCCGAGAATCTCTCAAGTCTTCTATATGTTTCACCAGTAGAGAGTTGGGGTCTCGTAGGAGTTTCGCAAATAAATCCTTATTAGTGTTCAGAACACCTAATGCATCCAAGAAATGTTTCGACTGGACTTTGCCTTCGTCTTCACCAAGGAGTCGCCCATCAGTAAATCTCTGATTTATAAATGCTTCAGCTGCTTCATTCATATGGACTTGAAGATTGATCTCTTCCTTTGGAGGAGTACTTGAATCACTTGGATCTTTACTTGCTGCAACCCTGGACTCTTCTTCATTTGATGATCTGTCCATCAACCGTTCAGGAACTGTTTTCCCAAATCCCATAGTTGCCACATCGTAACAACCATATATAGGCAAACGTCGAGCCCTTCTACGCTTCTTGTGGCGCTTTGTTCTGCTACTAACACTTTTAGAATCGGATTTTACATCTTGCCCTTTGATTTTCTGCATCTCTTTATGACCAGATCTAAGTCCAGCGTTCCTAGGATCCCCTTGAGTCTAAACAAACAAAAAGAACAAATGAGAGCAATATCCAAAGGAGATGTACTCAATCTGAGAACAGTGTTAAAGGTGCCTGAACTCACATTGATGCATTCACATTTTTCATCAACGACAGGGTGCCAATCCAGTTTATTTCTCGCAGATCGATCATCTACAACCGTATGCATAATTAGAGCAAGAAAAGTGTCAAATCAAAGACATAACAGCTCCATTCCATATTCTCCAACAGTACGGGACAAAAGGAGGGAAATGCTTACCACCATAATGCCTGCTAGCACTCCTGCTGTCCGAAATCAGCTTCTTCGAATTGCTATGTCGAAACCGGAAGAAACCAAGCAAACAGTGAGCACACCTAGACTTGTAGGTCTCGCAACGAGCAGGGCTTTTCGGCATGGGACTCTTGAGCATAGGGCTCATGTGATAGGGACTACTGGGCATGGAATTCTTCAGCAAAGGGCTCCTAGGAAATGATCTCCTCTCCATTGCATACGAATTATTGCTCGACATGGGGGCGCCAAGTTATGCAAACGAAATACCTCTTTTTATCTACAAGCCATGTGGTAGCAGTTTACCTTAAAATCAGTATACGAAAAGAACAAAGCAGAATTTCAACAACATGGAACGGAATTCAAATGCCAAAGCCAGCTGGGAAGGTGGGGAAAGCACCTTGGAGTGATGGAGTCGCAAGGTGTTTGATGAATTGCCGCAACCAAAGTCTTAATCTCTTTCTCAGCAGTTTCCTCAGCTCAAGAGGTAGAAAGTGAAGCAAAGAAACGGAGGGAAGGCAGTTACCCGACCCTTCAGCTGCTGATACTAGCCATGATCAGGAGAGAACCGGCTGTTGAGCTTACAAAAACGCCTCGGCCCTCCTCCATTGTTTCTTCTTTATTAATTGAGGGGGTTTGCTTTGCCGGGTCAGTACTCAATATTGCCCCGCCATTTGCTCCGCCTTTCAATGGCTAGTTACCCTTCATCAAAGACCCCGCCATTAAGCTGGAAAATGACTTGAAGAAACCGAGAGAGGGAAAGAGGGAGAGAGAGAGAGGTGGAATGGGAGGAATGGCGAAGGAAGAAGATGAGATTGAGATGGGATGAGAAGGAAGGGAAGAAGGGGGGAAAATTTAATAGTATGAAAGCAGCAGCCAGCAGCCAGCAGCCAGCAGCCAGAGGCCTAATAAGCTCAGCAAGCAAAGGAACTTTAAAATAAATACATAAAATGTATTAATTAATTAATTTTGACCGGGGAAATGAACAAATTGCAGATACGTGACTCCAAGGGAAACCCTCTGAAATTCAACGAAAAGCAATTATCTAATTAAAATTATTATTATTCATTTAAAATAGAAAAAGGGAAAACAAAAGGGAGGAATGGGGGGATTGCTTGTCCTCTCATACCTTTTTTTTCCATTTCTCATATTTACCTCCATTCTTCTAAATTCCTTCCCTTTCACAATTCACCATTCAAAGCATTTTGTACTCTTTCCTGATTCCTAAAATGAAAATTAACAACTTTTCTCTCTGGATTTCAAAATTCTGTTGACCTTACCCGTCCTTTTGATCCGGCATATTAGAATGTAGAATTGATACTTTGATATCGTACATACCTTATAATATCGTTGCAAGTCAGTTTAAGTAACCGATTTTGATGTATTACTCATAGAACATTATGTAAAAAAATTAATTTTTCGATAATAAAATTCAACACCCGTGAAATATTGAATCAAATATTAGTAAATATCGTATACGAAACGAAAATGAACAAAAAGAAAATTCGTCCATCGAGCGACATCTCGTTGTGTACTTTACTGTAAAAAAAAAAAAAGGTGTACATGTGGTTGCACTCCGGCGTTGAAACTTGAAACTCGGGTGTCGCCGTGGGGCGGTGGAGAGAATGATGCTCGCGGCCGCCATGAACCGGGACGGTGGGCAGTATGAATGGAATCGGGGATGAATACGACGCCGTTAGAGATGCCCGGCTGCCGGCTGGACCTTGTGCTTATCGTGGCCGTGAGTCGTGACTATGCTGTCAGACTGGGTAGCTACGACGAAAAAGCCCATGGGCCCATACGTATGCATGCAATCGTTGAGTTTTGGATTTTTGTTGCCCAAATTAAATGCGTTTCGGAATCCAAACGCCGTCCATCGCTTTCCGATTTCCATTCTTCAGTGTTTTCAAATTTCTTACAGCCTCTTTGCCTGTTATAATCTACTGCGAAATTTCAAATTTTTGACCTTTCAACCGTATGCTTGTGTTGGTTTTATGCCTGGATGTTGGAAATCGAATGATAAAATTCTAACAGGAAAGTAATCACGAGAAGGAACATCTTAATTATGATAATCATCATTTTTTTTTTTAAGTTCTCCCATTGTCACGTACTTGTGGTCGGTTTAAATGAGTTTGAGCTCTAAATTTCTTGTGCTTTAGGCGACCTATCTTTCAATCCCTATAAAGGCAAAGTAGAGAGACACTATTTTGGTTGCTTTGCAAGCTAAAGAGAAGAGGTTCGCATCTCATCGAATTCCACCCAAAGAGTTCAAAAAAGAAATTAGAAGGGACAAAAAAGAGAAAGGAGACACAGAGAAAAACAAACCTATAATCATTATCAGGAATTAACAAAAGAGAAAGGTTGTTGAAAATCAAACACGCGCTGCGCACCAAAGAAAAATCATCTTTGTTGGGTTTGGATTCAAAGACTATAATTAGTAAATTAACTTCATACTTAATCGTCCAAGATGGTTTCTTATGTAATTTGATTTTCCTTTCAAAAAACAAAAAAATTAGAAGTTTGAACATTGATTTTGTTATGATTCTATGTACTCTTTACATAAGTTGACAAACACAGAAATGGCCAACTTTTTTTTGTTTTTTCTTTATGAAAAGCAATTTAAACAATCTTTTCTTCTATAAGGATTTGAACACAAGCGTGTGTTAGTAAATAGTATATAATTTATAATTGAAACTCTTCCAATAATTTGAGTTATTGAGATCAATTAGTTTGTCTTAGTATTAGAGCCTTCTGTGATCGAGAGGTCTTCTGTTCCAATCCTAGTGACCTGTCATACGTTCTGTTAAGCACATGGTATCCGATCATGTGCAACCCTTAAGCCTATTCTGAGTGAATTTCGTTTGAGCGGGTGTGTTAGTAATATATGATTCATAATTGAAGCTCTCTCAACGACTCAAGTTATTGAAACCAACTGATTCTTGTCGGCATGATCTTTGTGCAATGATTATCGTCATAACACGTATGTGTTATGGTCATCTTTAAGTTAGCATTGGTCATTAAATATAACGACTTCTATAATTCATTGCAACCCATTTATATATGTTTAATGATCCAGATTCGCTTAACAACACTTAAACTCCTCAAAGTATTATCTATTATGAGCTCATCCAACTCGATGGATACATGGTATATATCATCCCGCCAATTTCAATTATCAGCAAGGCTTGTAAAATATTAGCGATAGTGTACTTTAATTTGTGCTAAAATCGTGTTAAAAATAACGCTAGTGTACTTTGTGCTCAAATCGGAATTTGTGGGGATAGTGGGTGAGGACATTTGATATGATGATTGTGTAAGGTAGGTAACGTTTTTAGTTAGTCACCACGTCACCCATATCATAATATCTGTAGGGCATGCAGTTAGTCCTTTGGAGGCTTTGGTTGGACGACTTGCCCATTTTGCACACTGCCCAATCGCCCTCCAATCGATATCCCCTTTCAGCCTTTAGCCCTTTGGAAGGACAATCCGTCCTTCCTTGCAAACAAAGGGAAAGAGGAAACATATGGTTATGGGTGGTATATGTTTGTTAGAGGAGGCCGATCAAGTAAGCTGGTGGGTCTACCCCTGATATTAGTTAGTTTTTGTAACAGAAACACAAGAGTACATGAATTAGATGATGAGTTGCATTTGAATCATTGGGGTTGGGTTTTTTTTTTTCATTCGGGCTTTATACCTCGCTTTGTCGTTTCGTATCAACTGACTGCAAGAATATTTGCGGATTCTTAAAATGTACAGTGTTTTTCTTTCCTTACAAATATGTTTTTTTATTGTCTGCTTATGGTAAGGCTCGTGTATTTTCACTATACGTACACAAGCGAATGAGATTTATGAAAATTGTAACGGTGATGTTATAAAAATTTAGATGTTGTTATACTTCTGTCTTGCTATCTTGAAGATGCACATCATGTACAAAAAATTTAGATACTATTATAATAATAGTAATAATTTTTTTATGAATTTCATTCCTTCGAGCCTGGAGTGACTACATGGATGCAATGTGCCTCACCCCTCAAAGCAAATCGATGCGGTCGTTTTTTATATTTTAGAGACAAGTTGTTAGGTCATTGCCCTTTAACTCGAGAAGGCATGATAAGGATAGCAAACGATCCCTGGTCGATCTCAGTCATGGTAGCACAATGCAAATATGAGAAAAATAATGTTTGTCTAATAAATATGAAATGTATGATTTCAACATTTTAAGCAGATCATGATCAAAATTGGAATATTTCTACCAACAAAAAAAAAAGTGGATAATATCATGAATCATGGTCGGCTAATATTATACAACATATCTCGTGGTCGTATTTTTCTTAATTATCATCTTGACCTTTTTATGTCTCTGTGGCGGGAGTTAGATGGGTTGATTTTGACACTCAATTGAATATTCCACGTATGTAGTCGGTTTCCCTGGCTGGATTTATAGTCATGCAATTCATATTTCATGGCGAATTAAGACTAGCTTCGGTAGCTTGTTGATGCTGTATTCTTGTAGTAATGATCATTATTTGTACACCAAAGCTCTTTCTTCTCTGCGGCCATCCTGTTTTCGCCTGTTACGATCGCATATTCAACTAAAAGGCACTGGTGGATCTGAAAGCATTGCAAAGGTTGAATTGAAATGATAGAATAGTACGCAATGTTTACTTTGTGTTAGGTCCCTCGAAAGAATATTCAAAATTAGGGGTGGCACATTTCACATTGCAGATTATATAATGTAGGTATATATGTATCTTTTTCTCTGGTTCTGTTTCTAGTTACTTATCAATAGTAGGTTGTTGAAAATTGTTTGGTACAAATACTTTGAGTCGTTGGGAGATGTGAGATCCATGTAAGGATTTTAACTATTTTCTTACATGTCATTTCAAATGAATTTATGGGCTCGAAATTCACACAAGTACATCGTATCTTGTACTTAAATCAACTAGACGTGTTAAATGTTGTCTAACGCTGAATCTTATACTATAATTTTTTCTTACATATTACGTTGCTCAAATAAAAATCAATTCATGAATTTACATATAAAGAGGTTGACAAGATATTTGGATACAAGGTCCTTTATTATTGGTTATAGGTTTTGATACTCGCATTATATTATTGACGATCACTCTATCAAAATGACTCAGGTTGTGGAAAAAAGTCCAAGTATATAGTTCAAACCATTTTCTCACACGATCCAGTTGTGGAGGTCTTTAAGAAGGTGACGAGCAAGTAACATTAGGTTGGATTTTCCATATGAAAAAAAGGCAAAAGAAAATAACACAGAGGTAAAGTGGTATCATCAATGGAGACTAATCCACAAAAGAGTTGAATCGACGAGGATTTCAATAGCTGAAGAAACACATGCACTTGGCTCTACAATGACAGAGGTATGGGCCTGATAAAAAGCTGTTGGGCTAAACACTTGGATAATAATTAATGGACCTCACTGAAACCCATTCCCCGCCTGCGGAAAATGCATACGCGATCGCACTGGGGTGTGCAATGGTCCGGTTTGGGACCGGATCGAGTATAATGCGGTTCGGTCATTGATACACATGAATTTTACAATTACTGAAGAAATGATGGACCGAACTGATATTTGGACCAGGCGCAATGATGATCGGGTTCTTGATTCTATGATATCTTTTACTAATGGACCATGGTTCACATAAATTTGGTCCGGTCTAAACCGGACCAAACCGTTGCACACCCCTTATTCGCAGCGTGTTTTGAAAGAAAAATCACGGGATTTCCCAGAACATCATGTTACAATCAATACGGTCAAGTCCTCCGCCGGCATAATTTTTGCAGAGCTCGAGCTGTGCCTTGAGGTTGGAAAGACACTGCTCGCAGTCTGCAATGTCTGCCGTGTGACAAATCGCGGAGCCGCCGGGGTTGCCAGTAGCGTAAGCCGGGTAGCCGTAGTTGTAAGAGAGCGTCGGACGGTTGGGAGTTGTTGTCTCCAACGCTGAAAGAACTTGGCCCACGTAGTACGGCCAGTTGGAATCACGCGCCGGAGGGCCGGAGCAGAATTGTGGCGCCGCGGCCGCTTCTTCCTCGGCTCGAAGTCTTCCAGCAGTCGCCCCGCTTACGTATATGATCAGTGGTGCTGCTAGTAGTAGTCCAACAACGATGAACACAGGAGGAGAAGAATGGGCCATGGTTTTTTTTTTTTCCCCTTTCGGTTTTTTTATGTTTGACAGTTTGAGGTGTTTCGGTGAGGTCAACGTGGATTTGGATCTCCTTTTAGCCTTTTTAATATACTCTAGGCTCTAGCTAGCTAGTAGTGCTTCTCATTCTCATTAGTTTCTCCACAGCATGGTTGTCATGCCGGTGGCATGCCACCCGGTTGAACCTGGTTCAATCTATACTGGTTATAAAACCGGCATGACACCATCGGTATGATCGACATACGCATTCTACGCAAAATGACATCATTTTAATGAATTTAATTAATAAAAATAATAATTTATTAATAATTTGTTGGATTGTAACTAAATTGTCCACAAATATGTTTTATATATATGATTAAATACATTGAATATTAATTATTTTCACATTTTTTTAAACCGGCATGAACCGGCACAAACTGGTTATACCATCGTTCGTACCATTCCACTTGCCAAACCGGCACACTGGTATAAACCGGTTTGACAACCTTGCTACATAGTTGTAGAAGTTGTTACGGTTTGGCAACTACAAAGGAAAACACTCCATGTTCAGCCCGCCTCTTGAAGTCAAACTAGGGCTGGCCGGCCGTTTCCACTCATAGATTAACACCAACTAATTAACCGTCTAATCTAATCCGCTTAGGGGGGAAAAAAATACACAAAAACAGGATGGAAAAACCTCCCTTATCCCCTTGCCTTGCCTTGTTCATCCCCATCGCTTAAACCCTTCCTCCCTCTGCAACTCTCCCGCTCTTTCCCCATCCATGGCGTTCACTTTCCCTACCCATTTCCCAATTCTCACTCCCATCCCATCTCACTTCTCCCGGAAGCCCATCATTCCCCATCAACCATTTCTATCACTCTACAAAACCCACTTCCGTTCTCACTACCGCCCGCGGGCTATTGGACCCGACGGCAAGTACTATCCAACACCATCCGGCGACGACCCACCCGAAGCACCGGAGGACACCGCTCACGGAATCAACAAGTTCGCGCAGATTCACATTCAAGCGGACCGAGCTCGCAAGGTCCAGGAGGAGGATTTCAAGAAGCACCAATCCAATTATCTAGATGCCTTGGCTGAATCTGAAGACCCTTCTGTAAGTCCTAACTCTTTGGATTACGAGAACTCTGGGGACGACTTGTTTGGGGAGATTGATAAGGCTATTGCCCTGAAAAGGGAAGAATTCATTAAGAAGGGGCTCTTGAAACCGAACGCTAAGAAAGAATCTGCAGCAGGGGATAACGGAAATGTTGTTAGTGGAATTGAGGAGTTGGAACCCGAGGAAGTGGTGGATTTGGAAGAGATTGATGAATTACAAGGTGTTAGAATTGTGGATGCTGACTCTGATGGGGATGAAGCCACTGGGTTTGAAGAGGGAATTGTTGTACCTGGTGGTAAATCCGATGCTGGGTTATCTTCGGACCAGTCTTTCGACCTCGATTTCGACAGTTTTGGAAAACTGAAGGTGAATGTGGTTGAACCAAAGTTCAGGATGAGTCTAGCTGAGCTTTTGGATGATAGCAAAGTGGTTCCTCTTTCGGTTTCTGGCAATTTGGAGGTAGAGATTACCGGAATTCAACATGATTCCAGACTTGTTACTGCTGGCGATTTGTTTGTGTGCTGTGTTGGGAAGAGAACTGATGGACATTTGTATTTGAGTGAAGCTGATAAGAGAGGAGCTGTTGCAGTTGTAGCCAGTAAAGAGATTGATATAGAGGAGACATTAGGGTGTAAAGCATTGGTGATAGTTGAAGATACCAATGCTGTTTTGCCTTCTCTAGCTGCTGCCTTTTATCGGTATCCCTCCAAAAATATGTCTGTAATTGGGATAACCGGGACAAATGGGAAGACAACCACAGCACATTTGATTAAAGGGATGTATGAAGCAATGGGGTTGAGAACTGGGATGTTGAGTACAGTTTCTTATTATTTACATGGCGATACCAAATTGGAGTCTCCAAACACATCTCCAGATTCTGTCTTGGTTCAGAACTTGATGGCTAAGATGTATCATAATGGGACAGAAGCTGTAGTGGTGGAGGCATCTTCTTATGGGTTGGCATTAGGGAGGTGCAATGAGGTAGACTTCGATATTGCTGTGTTTACCAATTTGACAAGAGATCACTCTGAGTTCCCAGGAACTGATGAAGAATATAAGGATGCTAAGGCTAAGCTTTTTTCTAGGATGGTTGATCCAGAGAGGCATAGGAAAGTCATTAACATCGATGACCCAAATGCTCCTTTCTTTAGGTCACTAGGGAATCAAGATGTGCCTGTTGTAACCTTTGCAATGGAGGATAAGAGTGCTGATGTTCATCCCTTGAAGTTTGAGCTGTCGCTGTTTGAGACACAAGTGTTGGTTAATACCCCCCAGGGGATATTGGAAATTTCCTCAGGGTTACTTGGGAAGCATAACATTTACAATATCTTAGCTGCTGTGGCTGTCGGGATTGCTGTTGGGGCTCCATTAGAAGATATTGTAAGAGGTATTGAAGAGATTGATGCAGTACCTGGTAGGTGTGAGCTAATAGATGAGGAGCAGGCGTTTGGGGTAATTGTGGACTATGCTCGTACTCCAGATGGTCTATCTAGATTGCTTGATTCAGTGAGGGAGCTTGGGCCTAGGAGAATTATCACTGGTAAGATTCCTTTCCTGGTGACTAATATTAACGTTCTTCTCATTTTCCTGCAACAGCTACTGGATGCTAAAACTCTTTGTGTGATTTGGATCTAAGAGGATGCTAGTTCATGTTAAGAGTTGTCATTTCCTTACTAAAGTTTGCTTGAAGATAAAGTCATATTTTTTTTGCTGACCTACTTGTCTCGGTTTGAAGTTATTGGATCTTGTGGCGAGAGTGAAAGAGGCAAAAGGCCACTGTTGACAAAAATCTCAACAGATAAAAGTGATGTAACTATGCTAACATCAGACAATCCGAGAGGCGAAGATCCATGTAAGTGCATTCAACCTCAAAGGGTGCTGCCATAGATGTACTGGTATAAAAGCTCATGCGAGTTATTTATCTATTTATGTATTGTTCTTTTAATTTTTATTTTCCAGTGGATATCTTGGATGACATGCTGGCTGGAGTAGGATGGACAATGCAGGAATATTTGAAACATGGGGAGAATGACTATTACCCTCCTCTCCCAAATGGCCATCGTCTTTTTCTACATGATATTAGACGTGTAGCCGTGCGTTGTGCTGTTGCTATGGGTGAAGAAGGCGATGTGGTTGTAAGTTTTTAATTAAGATCTTTTTTAATCATTCTTCTCACAAGTATATCTTCTGTTTGTGTTTGAACTACTTAAAATTTCTTACCCGGCAGGTTGTTGCGGGTAAAGGCCACGAGACAAATCAGATAGAAGGAGACAAGAACGAATTCTTTGATGATCGGGAGGAGTGCCGGGAAGCATTGCAGTATGTCGACGAGCTCCACCAAGCAGGGATTGATACAAGTGAATTTCCCTGGAGGTAGTAAATGGTTCAATTAGCTTAATTGGTTTAACTTCGATTTGTCAAATGTTCACGTATTAGTCCTCTAACGAGTTGATTCTATGCTTTGGCTATGTTTTTGGCTTTGCAGGCTTCCGGAAAGCCATTGACTTCGTCACCAAACTTCTGGTGCAAGTAAGCCTGAAGCTTGAGAATCATGTGCCATGGAGCAGGCAGCACTGCAGGAATGAAACTCCCCATAAAAACAGAACCAGAATCTCTAATTCTCTGAATGTGGAATATCATACACAGAAGAGAATTTGGTGGATTTGAACTCTGATGATAACGATCCATATGCATATGCATATCAATGAAATTTGGTGAGGGTTCTTTCAACATTAAAAGAATTTTTGTGCAGTAATGACTATCTTAGAAAGCTTAACTTTGTCCATCCTCCGTTCTTCGTTTTCTTCTTCTTCTGACTGCAGGTTTTATGATGCCCTTCAGCACCATCAGAACCTAACAGCTGCCATATGAAGGTAGGGAAGCAGATCGTGGTGGGAAAGGATGTAGATCACAGTTTTGTAGACAAATATGTTGTGTGATGTAGAGTAATTAGTTCTTGACAGATGATATTGACACACGGGGACAGTTTCTATGTGTATTCAGAGCCATCTTGAACCCTGGCGTTGGCTGGAAAAAATGAAAAGATCAAAGCTTTTTACTGATTATGGCTAGGAAGCGAGGTGACCTGCTTTCAAGGTCAATCTTCTCACTGCATTATTCAAGATTGGATTCATTTTGAGCTTCCTGGTTCACTTAACAGCTGAACTTAGGATGCAATTTTTTCTTCTTGTTATGATCAGACACTTCCCTGGTTAGGATTAAAGAGGCAAGTTACAATCAACCTTTCTTGGCATACGAGTTTCATCTGTTACCCAAACAAATCCCTTCTCATTGTGGTATTAAAAGTCCATGGTAGCCAGTTCATCATTCGCCACCATCTCCAAGGATTAGAGAGAGAAATGTTGCTTGATCCGCTGATAGTTTACCTTTCTTGTTCAATGCCTATCATTAAATTCCTTCCCAAGTTTGATTTCCTTCCAAAAAGTGAGCTATTTCTGAGAAAGCAAGCAGAAACGTTGTTCTCTCAGTATCATGAGATTAAGGGGCCGTTTGCTTGCAAATGAGTCTTTAAAGAAGGTCCATAACAAGCTGCAGGCATTCCCGAAAACTCCAATGGCAGGAAATCACATTTTACACACGGAATAGCTAATAGGGCTTGGAACTTGAATGCTACAAATACAAGTAATCAATAGCATGGAGAAAAAAAAAGGTATAATATTTAATCTTTAATCTGGGTTTCTCGGTTACTTTTCTCCCCTATTTCACTGTCACTTTGCCAACCATCCCAACTTAATTGTCCTGATCTCTGTAAATGGCAACTGGGTCGTTGTACAGATTGTGATATAACCTGTGGAGAGAGTGGGTCAACAAAATAACGCATGATTTTCTTCCTTTTTTGACCCTGACCAGAAAACAGAAGGCATAAATTGCCAGAAAAAAGCTTCAGTTCTGGTGGGTGAAGAAAGAAATGCACTTCTGATTGGTGGTGGCGCAAGAAGAGGTAAAAATTAAAAACCAAAGGCGTCCTGGTTCAGCAAAAGGGCATCAGGCATTATTGGTTTCAGGGTCAGTTTCTCCTCCTTTTTCATCTCTGCTAACAAAGCAAAGTTCATTTCATCAGTCCTTTTTGTGCTCATTTTGGTTTCTCGGTTTACTGATTGTGATTGAAATGCTTGTGAAAGGGTAAGTCTTTAGCCTTTAGGGTCTTTTGTGGCGTGATCATTGAGCAAGGTTCTGCACTTTTTCGTTTATGTCAAAATTTGTCTGGCTTTGTCATCTGATTTGAACAGCTATTGGAGATTCAGAATCAGGAATGCCTTGCCCTTTTCTTCTTTGAATCTCTCCTTTAGGACAGTGAAGCTCTTAGGAAATTTCTCAGCTTTCTCCTACGAAATGAGAGTTTTGAATTTCAGAAGCAGAATGCTTTTCAGTTTACTTTCAGAAATAGGGTCTCCTGGGGCTGTTAAGTGATGTTGCTTTCCCCTAAATGTTTGACTCAAGTAATCTGTCCATCTCTTTTTTACATTCTTTAGCAACATGGCATTCTAGAAGGAAGTTGTACTTGTAATTTGCTTCAAGTGTACTTGTAACTGTTACTTCTCTGAACATGCCCAAGGGCTTGTTATAGTTGCCATTTGATTCTGTATTGTCCTATGATTTACCTTCCTTAGCCTCCAACAGCCTCTCTCTCTGAAGGGTTTGACCTGCAATTTGGTTATCTAGACTAAATGTAATCCTGGATCATGTCAATAGTTCCTCTGACTGCAGGCTGATTAGCTGCTAACCATTGTTAAGAGAACAATACTGGGTTTTCCCATAAAAGAATGCCGTCGACCTTCGCAATTGGAGAGGAACAAGAAGAGAAGTTCCAACACCGATGGACATTTAGGAGGAAGGACGACAACGAGCTTGATTCCTCAAGCAATGAGTCGAGCTCAAGTGATGATGAGCCATCTCTAAAGCAGCCTAAACGGGCTTCAACTCTAGGTCCTGCTAATGATAACAATGACCATGATGATGATGGTGAAGGTAATGATGTCAATGAGATCCAGAAAAAGGGCAGCAGGAGGAGAGCTACTAGTAGTAGTAAAACGAAAGATGATGCGGCTAAGAACAAAAGGAAGATGAGAGCGGTGCCTGCTAAAAGGGGCAACCAGCAGAGGAAGAAGAGTAATGATAATGGTAATGGTAATGCTGCTACTGAGCAAGTTTTGCTGAATGAGCTGAAGAATTATATGAGCTCATTGTTGGACGATATGAAGGCGACAAGAGGCAACCTGCTGACATGGTTGAAGGAAGAACTGCAGAAAGTAATTGCTGAGGAGGTTGCTTTGGAGCTCGATAGGAGGCAAAGCAAGAGCTCTCAGTTACCACAGCAAAACGGTTCTCTCGAGGCCAGCACTCAATCACAGTACCAGACCCTTCTGCTGAGCAAGCAGTTTCAGCACCAAACTGATTTTCAGCCGCAGCAGCAGAAGCACCTGCCAAGTTCCGAGGATAACACTAGAATGCAGAATCAAAGGACTCTGCAGGCGAACATTCAACAGCAACAGCAGAATCATTTCTGGCCTTTTAAAAGAGATCAGAGCTGTGAAGTTGTAACACCACAAAGATCAGATAAGAACAAGAGGCCTTCTGATGCTTACAACTACTGCAACTTGCCAGCCGAGAATCCAAATGATTACAGCATGGCAATTGTGCCAGTGAGCTCAACTGAAGAGGAAGGCAGAGAAGAAGGTTTTGGATTATTTGCCAAACCAGATTCTATCCCAGAGAAGCAGCCAAAGATTGTATTGGGGATAAGTGCTAACCATTCAGCTGGGGAAGCCTCAAGGAGGTCTAGAAAGGGGAAAAGGGTTGCTGAAGACAAACAAGTTAACTGCAGCCAAGCCATTCTTTCACTGCCATCCAGTGTGAAGGACAAAGCTGGAAGGTTGGAATTTGAACCGCTAAGTTTTACTTACAATAATCCATCTGGACAAGCAACTTCTTCGACGTACTTAACTTTGCCTTCAGTCAATAACAAATCCCATGATGCAAGTGAAAACCGTTGGCTTGACGCTGCACTTTCATTCAACAGCAATGTTCAAACTAGGGTTCAAGGAAGCTACCTTGGATACTTCCAGAGGTTGCTTCAGCCAGAAGAAAGCAGCAGCAGCAGAAGTTTCACACCATTGGGTTCGAGGGACCTGAGCTACTTTAGAGACAACTGCATGTCATCTCCAGGTGTTGGAAGTGGGTTTCCAGTTGGACTTCATCAGTCTGTGAATGGTCACTTGACCATCCAGAGTCAACTGGGATTGGGAGGTCTGCCTCGGGAAACCAACCATGGTGTCGGTTTACGGATGGCTGAGGGAGGAATAAGGTTTTCAGGTGGGAGCTACTCCACCATGCCAGGGCAGCACATTCCCAACAACATCCATGGGAGAAGCATGGCATTTCAAGATGGTTTCCAGTTCCAAAAGTAGAGTTTATGGTATTATGGAGCAGTGAATAAATTCACAGGCAAAAGTGAAGGTCAGACGCTCAATTCTCTTCACTTGGAATCTTCTTTCCTACATAACAGGGAGCCTGAAAGGTTTTATCTAGATGATTATTTTGCAGACATCTTATGTATCAGTAACTACAGAGGAAATTGAAAATGGTGAATGAATCCAATTGTGCTTGTTCATGTCTAAACTGTGAAAGGAATGATTTTGATACTTTTACAATCGGTTGATACAATCTCCCAATACATTATTGCTTTTACCACCAAATACACCGTATAAAGAAAGGAGATAGTGACAATTTCTTTCTTTTAGCATTTACTCGTAAAACACTAGCTACAGTCTAGATTTACCATGCTTCCTTCCAGGAATTTGTAATGCATCATAGTGACCAGAACCATGGTAAAGAACCCTAATTGGGTTGTCCTTGCCATATTCCTGACCATATTCTGCAATCGAGATTAGTCCACCGGCATCCGCATCGTACATATACACGCTGATGGGCATCCTGCGTGCAGTTTTCACCAGCAAAGTCAGTAGTAGAAGGCATCAAATTTAATCATTCTAATCAATTTCGTAATGACAGTAACAAAATCAGCACAACCGACAATCTAAAGGCTGCAAACATTAAGTCAACAGCACTACAGCTTGAACAAGTTCCATCTTCAGCTTGATCAGAAATTACTCAAAGATCACCATTATAATAAATAAAAAATTACTCAAAGATCAAACAAAGCTTGTGACTACAATCTACATAAAGCTAGCTTGTGAGTTAACATGGAGCTAGCTCACAAGCATCAATAAGCTCCTTCCTTTCTCACTCCTTGCTTACTAGATGATATATCATTCAAGATCCAATCCGCAGTTTCAGTCACTCGTGTATTATATGTACAACGCTTGAGTTGAATTTCGGCCAGATAACCCTGCAAATTTCGGCAGTTTCTCTCATTTGCACCTCCAGATATTCCACATCCACTTGCTCAATTCCAACACCAAATGAACACGATGCACTGGACACAACTGCAGGTGCTCACTACACATACATGCATCAGATAGACGATATCTGATCTTTTAGCATAAAATACAGACTTACTTTAGAACATGGGACGCCATGAACAGTTCTGGCTCGCCTCCCCATACATGTGGCTTCCTTATTTGTTTCACATAAGTGTCAAAATCGCCTTCTACAAACCTGACAGAGACGATGAAGTTGTTTGAATA